AACCTAAGTAAATTACTAAGTCAACTAGGGCTGATTAAGCTAAGCTAGCAATGAGGCTAACTGGATAAACATGCAGCTAAATTAAAACTAATCCCATTTTATAGTAAACACACAGTATTGAGAAACAAAGCAAACAAACAAGATAAAATCAAAAACCTAAAAACATTAAATAGAGACAAAGGGAAAATAGCAAGATACTGATTTTGCTGGAAAATGAATACACGACTGAGGCGAATCGTTGAAAGCATCGGAGCTTGGGATGGCCAATATGGACTTGGTCGGAATTCGGCAAGCCTTGAAGTGAACCAAAACTGACGCTAATCAATTTTTCTTACTAAGAACAATCGATTGGCATAAACTTTGGCTCAAATCAAGCCTTTGAAACCGTAAAAATCAAAAAAAAAAAAAGGGGGATGGGGTTAGGGTTTTGGTTTTCTTTTGGAATTTCATATCTAAAATTGGAGCAAATGGGTAAGGATTTTGGAGAAATTGGTTATAGACATGGGATGAGGAGATTATGGTGGTTGTCTGTTGTGAATTTAGGGGGTCAGTTCAAACAGTTATAAGGGGTAGGGGTGTTGAGTTCTGGGCCATTCGATAAAGGAAGAACAACGGCTAAGATCGTCGTTTTGTTAAGTGTGGGTTGGACCGGTTTTTAAAGGGTATGGGCTAGATTGGGGCGGCTTAATGAGGGAAATTTGGGCCTAGATCTTATCTTAGACCAAATCTGGAACCAAGAAAATCCTTTCTCTTTTCTTTGATTTTAAAAATCCTAACTTAATTAATTAAAAACCTAAAATAGGTCCGAAATTAAATCTAATTTGTGAAATAACCTTAATTAACTATTTCTAATATTTGAACAATTAATCAATTTGAAACTAATGTAATGGAATTACTTATTTAAAGCTAAGGCTAAAATGTAACATGACCAATATTTTTTTTCTTTCAATTTTTTTTGTGTGATTTTTTGTTTAATAAATGCAATTAACTTATGCAATTAAATCCAAAAATGCTATGTAACGATGATCTGATATTTTTGGTATTTTTCTATGATTTTCAAAATATTAAATGAGCACAAAAATGCATTAATTAATTAAAAATCCTACAAAATGTTATAAAACTAAAAATAATTGATAATTTTTTTAATTTTTGTATGAGTATTTCTAGTCGGGCAAAAAATCACGTGCTCACAGCTGCCCCTCTTTGCTCGGAAACATGAAGAGTTTTCGGGCAAAGATAAAATGAGTAATTACGAGCGATTTTTGCCCGTTTGGATACTCCCTGGGAAGCATTTGAAAAAGATTGACTGAACCTTGCTTCGTAAGTTGCCTACATATCCTTGGCTATAAATGAATCGGGTCAGTGAAGTTCTGGAAGTTTCGGTAGCTGGGACTACCGAATAGCTGTGATTTCACTATTGTTGTTTTTGTTGTTTCTACTTGCTAAGATCCTTATTACACCAAAAATCAAAATGAAAAATTAACTAACTAAATCTATCAGCTACGAGTTACAAGATTCCTATCTATAAACCTTCTGAAACTTGATCTTGAGTCTTGGCGAGTTCTTCATGCACACTCTAATCTGAATCTTGATGCTTGTTAGCTGCGAGTGCTGGTTCATTCTTCTTCAGCTTTTCGGATCATGGCGGGACATGCAAAGTTTGTGACTTCAATCATGTCTTGAGCAGTCCACATCTTTTCTCCGCTTCTTTTCGTTCCTTCTTTTTCTTTATTCTGGAATGAGACTTCTTCTTTTGGTCGTCTCGAACCCTATGTTTCGTGAGTTATTTGTAACCAAAACTTTATACTACTTCATTATTGAAAGAAATAAAGATCAGGATTGTGTATCCTTGGAAAAAAGAGGTTAGGGAGTGGAAACCCTGTATCTAAAATGAAATCAACTAGGGGTTGGAGACCCTAGGTTGGAAAAATCACCAGGTTATGCTGGCCTCAACTAGGAAAAAGTCATCAGGTTATGCTGGCATCAACTAGTGAGTGGGGCCCTATGTTAGAAAAGTCATCAGGTCATGTGAGCATAACCTAGGGAGTGGGACCCTATGTTGGAAAAGTCATCAGGTTATGCTGGCATCAACAAGGGAGTGGGACCCTATGTTGGAAAAGTCATCAGGTTATGCCGGCATCAACTAGAGGTTGGGACCTTTTGTTGGAAAAGTCATCAGGTTATACCGGTATCAACTAGGGAGTGGGACCCTATGTTGGAAAAGATGTGGCTAGAGATTGGAGATCCTATACTACCGTGATTTGAACTTTTCTTCTTTCCTCTCTTTTCATTTCACTTTTCATTTTTCTTTAAGAGAATGAGTAATGAATTTGGTGGGGACTTCCCTTTTGGGTTGACTATTGTTGCAGACCCATTTTAATCTCTCTGTATTTTGCTTTTATCGCACCTACTTCTTGCAATGTTGCTTTGAATTGCACCTGTTTTTCCGTGTTTTTCAAACAAAGAACAATTTGTCAGTTTGAAACACTGGTTGGTTTTGTGGCCTTAAGCATTTCAATCACTTGTTGTTGGCCCGACTCTTTCAATAAAGGTCTCCATTGCTTGCTTGCTTTCTGGGGATTGGTTTCATTCATAAACACGAGGATCTTTACTTTTCTTAAACTTTAACGTGATGGTTAACCCGTGTGGGACTCGGCCCTTTTCCACAATATTTTTCCTTTATGAGCATTTGAATTTGATTTCATTTCTTTTCAGGAGTTTCTTGCTCCGAAGCATTAGCCATCATGGTCAGTCGAGGTCGACTTGATGCATCTACTGAAGCTGGGTGCTTTTCTTGAATATTGGCTTTTTGTTAAACAAAACCCTGTAAACCAATCTTGCCATCTTTTTTTGTTTTAAATTCGGAACAGAATTAGACCAAAAGGGATTCAAAGAAAATTAAACAATGGACAGGGTAATGAATTTAAACGAGAGGTGTCCCTTTCGGGGAAAGGAAAGAAGGACTTATCTGGAGTACATGCAGACTTCAATGAACATTATATACCTCTTGGACTGGATACCCGATATGTGTAAACCGTCAAACTCTCATAAACTCATACCTCAAAACTAAGAAACCTTGCCAGGACTCTATCAATACCGATGGCTATGAGGATCCCCTTTTCGATCAGTGGCGCCCTTTGCGGGTTTTCACCAGCTGACCTCTCTCATTTCTCTTCTCACTGTCTCCTTATAGTGCTCTTTGCGAGTTTTAACTAAAAAGACTCTCTCATTTTCAATTTCTCCGCTTACCATCGCCCTATGGTTCCTGTGTGGGTTTTCACCAATAAGACTCTCTCATTTCATTTCTCTCATTTGGTTGTATCAGACCCAAGTAACCATATCCTCTCATTTTGAACATCTTTATCGATTGATAGGAAGGACTTGAACAGGATTTGGGGGTAAAAAGAATTTGAATTGAATTACAACTTTGGAACATTTCAGGCAAAACTATTCGAACTATTATAACTTCTGCCCCAGTTTCAACGTTTGGGGGAATGTGGATTTTTATTTTGGTGTGACCGAACCCCAAGGAGAGGCTGCCTACGTATCCTTTCCAAATGAAGTCAAACATAGCTCAGGGAACTTTGATTTTTATTTACTCTTTTTTTTTTGTTTTTTGTTTTTTTTCAATAGCACTTTCAGGTTCTAAAGAGGGTAATCAAATAAAAGTAACTGGTTCAAAGGGTTTGCAAATGGTTGGTAGTGTTTGGGTAGCAAGAATGAAAGCATTCGTCATCCTAATCGGAGAAATATTAATACCGCAAAAGGGGTTAAACATAATACCTTTTGACCGCATCCGCATTGATAACTGTTTCGGGGTCATTTCCTTCAATGTCTCCGAAGTACAATGCCCCTTTTGGCAATAATTTTCTGATAATGTACGGACCTTTCCAATTTGAAGCAAACTTTCCTTTCGCTTCCTCATGATGCGGGAGAATACGTCTCAGAACGAGTTACCCCACTTCAAAGTTTCTTGGCCGCACTTTCTTGTCGTAGGCACGGGCCATTCTTTGTTGATACAACTACCTGTGGCAGACTCCGAGCATCCACTATTCATCAATCATGGTTAACTATTCTAAATGGGTCTTGACCTATTCATTGTCCTCAATCTGAGCTTCAACAATGATTCAAAGAGATGGAATCTCAACTTCTACAGGTATTACGGCTTCAGTGCCATAAACCAATAAATAGGGTGTCGCCCCAACTGATGTGCGCACGGTTGTGCGGTATCCCAATAATGCAAAGGCAGCTTTTCGTGCCATTGTCTAGAACTTTGAATCATTTTCCTAAGTATCTTCTTGATATTCTTGTTTGCCGCTTCAACCGCACCATTAGCTTTGGGCCTATAAGGGGTAGAATTCCGATGCATAATCTTAAATTGTTCGCATACCTCCCTCTATAAATGGCTGTTCAGGTTTGTACTTAGGAATACCAAAACGACAAATAATGCTGGAATACACGAAATCCACCACCTCTTTCTTGGTGACGACATTGAAAGTGACTGCTTTAACCCATTTTGTGAATTAGTCAATGGCAACTAAGATGAATCTGTGCCCATTTGAAGCTTTCGACTCGATCGGCCCAATGAAATCCATACCCCAAGCGATGAACGGGCAAGGTGCTGACATAGGATGCAATTTTGAAGGCGGTGCATGAATCAGGTCACCATGTATCTAACACTGATGGTATTTGCGGAAAAAACTGAAGCAGTCCTTTTCCATGGTCATCCAATAATAACCTGCCCGAAGGATTTTCTTTACAAGGACATATCCGTTCATGTAGGGTCCACATACTCCCGAATGCACTTCGTTCATGATTTTTCCAGCCTCTTGAGCATCTATACACCTTAATAGATTCAAATATGGAGTTCTCTTCTACAAGACCTCTCCGCTCAAGAAGTAATTGCTGGCGAGCCTTCTAATGGTTCTCTTTTGGTCTCCACTGGCTTGCTTGGGATATTCCCTTGATTTCAAGATTCTTTTGATATCATGATACTATGGCTAAGTATCTGGTCCTATTTCAACTGCATTGCAGTAACCATGTCTTTCTCGAATTTGGATTTCCAGCGGGTCAATGTGGACATTGCCCGAATACGGCAGTATTGAGGCCAAAGTAGCTAGTGCATCAGCTAACTCATTGTGGAACCGAGGAATATACCTGAACTTGACGGACTTGAACCATTTCCTAAGACCTTTTACATGTTTTCTGTATGGGATAAGCTTGATATCCCGGGTTTCCCATTCACCTTGAGCTTGTTGAATAATCAAGTCAGAATCTCCCATGATTAACAATTCTTCCACATCCAGATCAACTGCCATGTTCATGCCCATAATGCAAGCTTCATACTCGGCAGTGTTGTTTGTACAAAAGAACTGAAGCCGGGCTATGGCCGGATAGTGCTGACCAGTGGGCGAAATCAAAATTGCCCCAATCCCGACACCTTTTGCATTTGCAGCTCGGTCAAAGAACATTTTCCAAGCATTGGTGTCTTCTGGAATTACCTCAACTGAATTTACTTCCTCGTTTAGAAAGTAAGTACTCAAGGGTCGATATTCATCATCAACAGGATTCTCAGCTAGGTGATCCACCAAGGATTGAGCTTTCATCGTCGTGCGGGTGACATAGACTATGCAGGATTTGCCATTATGCTAACTTTCCGGTGGGCATTAGCTTTTGGAATATGTATTTCAAAGGTTCCATTCTTGTTATTAGATATGTGGCATAGGCCAAAAAAATAATGCCTAAGCTTCTAGGCGAACCAAGTTATTCTTTCCAACAAAGTGTACTTGGCTTCATAACTAGTGAACTTCTTGCTCAAATAGTATATGGCTTGCTCTCTCTTCCCAGTCATATCATGTTGCCCCGGGACACAGCCGAAAGAATTTTCCAGGACTATAAGTTACAAGAACAAAGGTCTCCTAGGCACGGGTGGGACCAACACTGGTGGATGCGACAGATATTTTGATTTTGTCGAAAGCTTCTTGACATTCATCCGTCCATCTGATTGCCGCATCTTTCTTCAATATCTTAAATATGGGCTCACATGTGGTAGTCAGCTGAGCAATGAACCTGCTGATGTAATTCAATCTTCCCAGCAGACTCATGACCTCTTTCTTGGTTCTCGGAGGGGGCAAATCCCGAATAGACTTTATCATTGTTGGATCTAGCTCGATGCCCCTCCGACTGACTATAAACCCCAAAAGTTTCCCAGATGGAACTCCGAATGCACATTTAGCTGGATTCAACTTCAAGTCATACTTACGCAAACGCTTAGAGAACATTCTAAGGTCCCGCACATGGTCGTCCTGCGTTCTGGTATTAATGATCACATCATCAACATATACCTTAATTTCCTGGTGCATCATGTCATGAAAGATGGCGGTCATAGCTCTCACGTATGTTTCCCCGGTGTTCTTTAAACAAAATGGCGTGACCCTATAACAGTAAGTGAGCCAGGGTGTGGTGAAGGTCGTCTTTCTGCATCTTCTTCATCCATCAGAACCATGTGATACCCAGCATAACAATCCACGAAAGACTGTATCTCATGTTTGGCACAATTGTCAAAAAGAATGTGGATGTTTGGTAATGGAAAGTTGTCCCTGGGGCTTGCTTTGTTCAAATCACGATAATCAACACAGTCAGGTTTTCCCATTTTTTTTCGGCATTGGGACCGCATTAGCCAACCATGTGGTGTATCGGACCACTCAGATCACACCGGCTTTCAGCTGTTTGGTGACTTCTTCTATGATCTTGTCACTAATGTCTATTTTAAACTTTCTCTATGTTTGTTGGACTGGTGGATAACCGGGATAAGTTGGAAATTTGTGCACTACAAATCAACACTCAGTCCTGCATATCATCATAGGACCAGGCAAACACGTCTTTGAATTCAAACAAAAGTTGGAACAATGAATCTCTAGTTCTTTCATCAGCGTGAATGCATATCATAATTTCCTGGACCTCTTCCGGACTACCCAAATTAACTGGCTCGATTTTATTTAAGTTTGGCTTAGGCTTATTCTCAAATTGTTCCAGTTCTCAATTTATTTCCCTAAAAGCCTCATCTTCATCATATTCTGGTTCTTGATTCATTATTTAACTATTAGACATCGTGTTAGGATCTGGGCATGAAGTCCGCAAGCATGTCATGTTATTTAAGTCCGCATTATTAGAACTGAATAAGAGAGATAAGAAAAATAATGAAAATCAGAAAGAATAATGGAAAGAAATTCATAGACGATGAAATATTCATTTCATTGAATTTGAAGATAGGAGGGTTTACATCAGAATTTAAAAGACAATAAACTAAAAACATTCGAGTTACACCCTAAAATAACTCGGAATGCAGAAAAGATGGCAAGACTGAACTACCAGGATTCCCGCCTAACTGGGAATGGAGTAGCCTTCCAATTTTGATGTTTAGCATTTGACCCCATATATTTCACCTTAGTAGTGTTTGAACCATCACCCGGTTTGACCATGTAAACCTCGTACAACATTTGCCTCATTGCCTCACAGATATCTTCAATTTCTTCGGCCGTGAAGGCCTCTTCCTCTTCTTCTATATACCTTGGCTTAACAAACTTCTTGGCGAGGTGCGGGACTGGCTGAGGCGGGGCCCACTCATTATTCTTACATTCATTTGCAGAATTTACGTCGGTCTCTGTAGCTTCAAAACCTATGCCAAAGAACTTCTCGCTGGCAGTCAAAGTGATAGGCTCTGTAATGCCTTGTAAGAACACCACGAGCCCTTTCCCGGGCTTGTAACCATGTTTGATCATTTCACTGACAACCATGATTGACGCGTTTGATAAGCAGGGTTGAGGACATGGAGTTCCTTCCTTGCACTGGTCCGCGACCACGATCTCAAAAGCTTGGTAGACGATGTGTTCAACAACCTCTCTAGCCTCCAAGCATGGGACTGACGGGACCCTGTAGATTGATTGTTCATCTTCTCCGTGGACCACTATTTCTTGGTTTTCCTATTCGAACTTGACCATTTGGTGGAGAGTACAGGGCACGGCTCCCGCAGCATGGATCCACGACCTTCCTAAGAGAAAGTTATAGGAAGTGTCCATGTCTAGAACTTGAAATTTTACTTCAAAATCTACAGGGCCAATAGTTAATACCAAGTCAATCTCCCCTATCGTATCCCGCTTGACACCGTCGAAAGCACGTATGCAAACATTGTTGGGTCTAATCCTTTCAGTCCCAGTTTCCATCCTTTGTAAGGTTGATAGAGGGAAAATGTCAACTCCAGATCCACCGTCCAACATAACCCTTTTCACATAATATCCTTCACACTTGATAGTCAAGTGAAGGGCTTTGTTGTGGGCGGCTCCTTCTGGAGGCAAGTCATTTCGGCTGAAGGAGATTTGGTTGACTTCAAAAAATTGCTCTGCCATTCTTTCCAACTGGTTGATCGTGGTCTCAACCGGAACATATGCCTCATTCAGCGTCTTTATCAGGACTTTTTGATGTTCACTCGAGCTTATCAGTAGGGACAAAAGTGAGACCTGGGAGGGAGTCTTTCTAAGTTGATTAATTACAGCATAATCCGATGTTTTCATCTTTGGGAAAAATTCCTCTACTTCTGCAGCACTGAACGGCTTCTTAAGTGGAAACTGCTTCTGCTTTGTTTTGTTCAATTCTTCCAAGTTCAGATACTTCCTAACTTGGTTCATTTGATTTACTTCTCCCATGATTTCCTTTCCTTTGTATGTGACCACTGCCTTATCGTAGTTACAGGGGACACCATTGGGGTTTTTGATGGGACTCTGTGGTGCGCGACTGATAACCCCGGGCTCAGTCATCCTGGGTGAAATTATCACCCCCCCCCCCTCCCCCTTTGGCACATATATCTTTGGCACATTCAACGTGAATTTCTTTTGCTCAAGTCTTTTAGGAGGACTCAACATGAATTGTTCCTTTCTGGGGGCCCTTGGAACATAGAGAATGGCATCTTTAGGAGGTGCTGCCCCTGTCTTTATTTCCACAGCCTTTTCTGCATTTTTGGGAGTGGAATTGATCTTCTTCTCATCTCTAGCTTGTTTTGCTACCGCTTTGGGTTTCTTTTCTAAATCGACGATAGCAATGATAGCATTCAAAGCTGGGTTGAATTCTTTGTCCTCACAGATCATCCTAATGATCGGCCCATTGTTGTGAGCCGGCAATGGGTTGTTAGTTACATCGGGGACTTCCTCGTCCCTCGACACTACCCGCTTCTATTCTATCAGATTCTCGACTGCTCTCTTAAGGGTCAAACAATCTTCGGTGTCATGCCCTTCCCCTCCCCCCCTATGTGATAGGTGCACCTGGTACCTGGCCGGTAGGACAGATATTCTGGGTTCTGCCTGTTTGAAGGTGCAGGCTGTAACAGGCCCATTTGGACTAATTTTGGGAAGAGACTGGAATATGACTCACCAATGGGTGTGAAGTTAGCTTTTTGGTGGTTCACGGGGATGAGTGTTATATTGGTAATTATTCTGTGGTGGACATGGATTATACGGCGCTTGGTGAGAAGGGTTGTTTCTTGGGGGTGGAGCTCGGTTTTGATTGTAATGTTATTGTGGCCGAGTGTATGACTGGGCGTTCATTACTGCATAAGGATGAGGGGCAATAGCATATGCTGCATCCTGGTGGGGGTAGTAATGTGGCGGGATCCTGGATGGGGAACCAAAGTGGCTTCGGGGTTGACGAGAATTTCATAAGCTTGAAGCCATCATGGCTCCCTCTTCCTTCTTTTTCCGGTTTGCTAAACCTCCTGACCGCTCTGGATAGCTTGGGAAGTGGCTCTTATAGCTGATTGACTCATGATGCGACCTGTTTTCAAGCCATTTTCTACCATTTATCCAATCTTTATGGCCTCTGCGAATGGTTTGCCTATGGCAGACATCATGTTTTGGAAATAATCGGCCTCTTGGGCCTGTAAGAAGACATTGACCATCTCGGCCTCATCCATTGGGGGTTTTACCCTGGCCGCTTGTTCACTCCATTTGATAGCGTATTCTCGGAAGCTTTCTGAAGATTTCTTTTTGAGGTTGGACAAAGAATTTCTTTCTGGAGCTATGTCCACATTGTACTGGAACTGTCTGAAAAAATCCCGAGCCAAGTCGTCCCATATGTGCCAATGGGAGATGTCTTGGTCCATATACCACTCTGACGCAATTTCGATTAAGTTCTCCCCAAAATAGGCCATCAAAAGTTCTTCCTTTCCGCCCGCCCCTCTCAGCTAATTGCAATATCTTTTAAAGTGGGTGATCAGGTCTCCATGCCAGTCATATCTTTCGAATTTTGGCATTTTAATGCGAGTAGGGAG